TAGAGTTCATCTAATCCTCTCATGCTCCCCCTCCCAACTGCATTATGAATCAGCCTCCTTAGATGGATAGATTATTAACATCCTCTTTCTCCAGGAATCATTTGTCTCTCTTTTCTGAGCTTATATGTACTATTCTATGTTCTTTCTTTCTTTCTTTTTTTTAAACTTTTTAAATAGTTTAGTGCATTACAGTTATCCATGATATGTATATCTATACATTGTATTCTTTAAGTTTTGAGCATGTCTTCTTCTGTGGGGTTAATTGGAATAGATTTTAATCCCCATTACGTTGCTTTTGCTATGTGATAAGATAAAGGGTTTTAGCCTCTTTTTTTCTGGAATAAATTTTTTTTTTTTTTCCATTTCAGGATAACTTAGTGTTTGGCTCAAAGACTATTTGGAGGTTGTTCTGTCTCCTTCCCAAATCACTTTAAGTCCCTGCCTGTATTCGAATAAATTTAAAACTTGTGATTTAAACTTAGCCTGGAGTGCTGTAACTAATTGAATGTGGGGTTGAAGTGCTTTAGTTCCATCTCCGTCAAGAAGAGGGCTTGTTGCATTATTTTTCCCGTGGCTCTGTGCTTCATGGCACAGTTCCCGCCTTGGCTCTAGTAACCGTCTCTTCCCTTTTCAGCCAGCAGTTTCCTTAACACTCATTGTCACTTAAGTGGCTACTCAACAAGCTCCAGGAAGAACCTGATGCAGGCTCAGGCTTTTTACCGAGGACCTACCAAATAGCCTGGTTTCCTTTTCTGGTTTCTTTCCACTGCCGAGCAGTGCAGAGATGAGTTACSGGTCCCCTCAGCCTTAGTTGACATCCTCTTGGAACAGGACTAACAGTACCTCCTCTGCCGAGTCACCTCAGGCTTGGACAAAGTACACGTATGAAAGCCCTTGCAAARCATCAAATGTGACAGTGCTTTTAAAAGTTGTCGTAGAAGTCAAGTACTTGTCATAGCTTCTCCTGCCTCTTACCCCAACTGCCCACATGTTCATCATAAATTTATTATAAGTACAGATTCCTCATTCATGAGCTCATTTGTTTACTYAAATATTTTTGTCGAGCACCTAAAATCCATTACCAGATTTTATTCTTCTTTTCTGCATAACCTCCTTTCTTAATATTGTGCCAGAGAAATGGAAATCTCTAGGTTCTGAGCACTGTGGGTGAACACTGTATGAACGGTACTAGAGGATTCCCTCACTGAGAAGAACACAAATATTTATCCTCAAAGTAATCATCAACAAAACATATTTACAAATGTGAGCATCTCATTACACATGGTTCTGGAATTGGTCCTCTACCCCCAGGTTTTGGGGTTTTTTTTGTTTTTGTTTTTTTGTTTTTTGTAGTACTGAGGTTTAGACTCAGGGACACTCTACTACTTGGCTACATTCCCAGCCCTTTTTATTTATTTACTTTTAGTTTTTGAGAGAGGGTCCTGCTGATTGTTGAGGCTTACCTTCAATTTGCCATCCTCCTGCCTCAGCCTCCCAAGTAACTGGGATTTAGGCATGCACCACTGCACTCAGCCATGTTTTGTGTCTTTAAAATAAAAGCACTTATGTCTCTGTTTTCCTTAAGGTTCTCGATTCAGGATTCATGCAAAAGTGTTATATGGCATCATCTCTCTGAAGTGTTTGCTGGCTTTAGAGAGACTGGCTTGCTCTTATCTCCTGAATTTCTATAGCAACTTGCCTCGAATTCTTTGGTGGTTGAGCCTCTYTGTGTTTTATGCCCAGCATCAAGAACAACATTTGATTTTTCACTTAATGAACCTAAAAGTGCACATTCCTGTGCACCACCTTTCCCTTCTGTCTTGTTGCCTCTGTGATGAAGTTTGAGTTGGGAAGGGCTAGGAATCCAGACTAGGAAGTGAGCTGCAGTTTAAGGTCATTCTCTGCCTTCTCTCTGAGGTAAGGTGTTTTTGAGAGGAAACAAGCAGGRCTTGGAGCAATTAGTGAGCCCAGTGTAGGCCAGGGTGTTAAGGGGGCAATTATCACCTTTCTCTGGATGTGGTTTCGAAAAGGCATTGGCCTGTGGAAAGGTCCCAGGCTGGCCTGGCGGTAATGGACCCAAGTGAAAGCGAGCACATGTTTTGATAAGCTGAGCTCTGAACACTTAACTGGTGGGGAAAGGTACTTCATGTGTATTTAGGACTCCGACTTTTGTTTTACCTTTTTTAAAACAGATACCATGTTCCTTACAAGAGAATAGGAATTTGTATTATTAGGCTCATGATACAGAGTATATGTAATGTGTATTCTTCAAAGGAGCACAGGAGAGAGAATCATGTTTTACCCCTGCTTTAACTGCAGTTGAAAGAAGACCCACCGCCCTTTCTGCCTCCACACTCATCATCACCCAGAAGCACCTGGGATACAGTCTACAAATAGTGAATTCACCTCCATCTGGGTTGCCCTATACCAAGTCCCATTTTAATGCTGAAGATGGTACACTTGCWCTTTAAAGTGTCAAGAATTTTACACTGACTTTGAAAGAATAATATATGTAGATGTGTGTGTGTCCACATGTTATAGATACAGATATAAAACTTATGTAAATGAAACTCTCAGGGCGGCATTCCGATACCATGTCTTCAGAGATTTTTCTAGCATCACTGGGATCTGGATTCCCTTTTGAGGAGTCACTTCTTATAGGGTTTAAAGGGCCTTTCTTGGTGTCTATAAAACACTGCATTCATGTTCAAGGCACATTTCATCTTGATGGTCAAAGCATACAAGGTCAAATAACCCTAAACAAACCATCCAAAGCAGCAGGAAGTCAGGGAAGATGGGGGTTGTATTCTGCTGCCTCAGCAGRATAGTTACAGGAGGTACCAGAGACACCATTGCTGATAAACATGCCCACATCAGCAAGTCCTGGAGGGAACGAGAGGGAGGAGAGCCATCAGAAGCCATCTCCTTGTTAGAGTTGTTTTCATTTGAACTTCTGTTTGTGGCATGGTACATTCATATACGTTTTGTTTGGGGTTTTTTGTGAGTTTTTATTATTATTTTATTTTGGTTTTGTGTTTCTGTTTKGTACTGGGGATTGAACTCAAGGGTACTTAACCACTGAGCCACATTCCCAGCCCTTTTTATTTTTTTATTTTGAGACAGGGCCTAGTTAAGTTGCTTAAGGCCTTGCTAAGTTGCTGAGGCTGGCTTTGAACTCCTAATCCTTCTGCCTCCTGAGCCACTGGGATTACAGGAGTGTGCCATTATGCCTGGTATATATATGGTTTTACAGAATTTTATTGGGCTGTTTTTGTTTTTTTTGTGTGTCAGTTTATAACTGGAAATCAAAACAAATTGAGCACTCTTAAGTTATGGTTATTCTTTTCCTTGGTAATTCTGTACACATAACCCTTATTCTTGTTGACATTAATCGTGTTGATCATTCCATTCAGCCTCCTGCTCAAAGTTGGGCTACCAAATCCATGCCCACCAACCTGTCATGTCTTAGTGCTTCCCATATTTTTGGATTTTAAGGACAGTAAGCTAAACAAAAAATAGTGTTCAGGATCCAGTATAGAGTCAACATTTTATTTTGTCAAAAAGAATACAAACTGAGGCAAGTTCCATCTTTCATAACCAGAAAGGCCATTTTAATATTAAAAATGTCAAAGCTACACAATCACAGAATTAATATTTTGACAGATTGTACTTATTTTTCTGTTTACCACTGATCCCCACCAGTGATCACCTCCSCCCAGGTCAGTTGATGAAACACTGCCATGTAGCACCAGTCTCAACCCACATGCTCGGTCACCCAGCTCTGCTTGAAAACTTCCCTGGCAGCAAGCCCCACTTCTTCTCCCTGAGAAAGGCTTGCAGTCTCCTTTCCCAAATAGGCATCTGCAGGCCTTCGGCGGTGCCGTCCTCCAGGATACAGTTGCTAGACCTTTGCTCATCCCTTTTGACAGAGTTCAGAAGACCAGGTTAAAGGAGATATTTAGAATAATTATATTCAGTGTAGAAAGTACTCAATGAAAACAAACTATCGGTACTTGTTTATTTATTCCTCCACCCCTTTCTTTTGAATTTCTTTGTCAGGCACTGTGCTGAGGCCAAATATTAAAAAAAAAAAAAAAAAGTTCCAAGAATGCACATCCGATGGGGATGACAGCCGTACAGGTAGTGTAGCTGCAGTGTGCTTGTTGGGTGCTGCATCGCACTGCCATGGGAGGAGGCTGCTGTAGGCACAGTGCAGAGGCAGGCAGCTCTTAGCTGTCAGAAAAGGCTTGCTGCAGGAGGCCTGGTGGAGGGTGCCATTAAATGGAGTCTTGAAGAATGACACCAAGTTTCCCAGGTTAAGTGACATCATCCACAGCAGGAAATGAGGTTGGACCCGGGCAAGCTGGAGCTGTGTTCATTTGCTAGGGCTGCCTTAACAAAGTACCACTGGGTAGCTTAAAACAACACATTTATTGACTCCAAGTTCTGGAGACTTAGAAGTCCAAAATGCAGGTGTCAGGAGGCCCTGCTCCCCAAAAACCCATGGAAAAGAATTCTTCCTTATTCTTGTTAGTTTGGATGRTTTGCCAGCAATTCTTGGTGTTCCAGACTTAGAGCTACATCCCTCCAATCTCTGCCACCACATGGTTACTTCCTATGTTCAGATTTCCCTCTGTTTTTTTCCACATTTTTTTATTGGTGCATTATAGTTGTACACRRTGATGGGATTTGTTACACATTTATACATGCACACAATATATCAATATGATTTAGTCAGTATTACTCCCAGTATTTCCCCTCTCCCTCCCTAGATATCCCTCTTGCATTGAATTAGGGCCTGCCTGAAGGGGCTCATCTTAACTTTGTTATATCTTCAAAACCCCATTTCCAAATAGGATTACATTTGCAGGTCGTTGGATTTAGGACTTTAACATATCTCTTTCTTTAAATTATTTAACCCATAATAATGCATGTTGGGGGATGATGAGCATAAAGACCAAGAGCATTACTTATTTCTATGGTCAGGGTCACATATTTGTCTCAGTGCAACCTAAGTTTTAGTTATTCGGAGAACTTGAACTTGTACCTAATTGAAACGGTATTTTTAGTGAATGAGTCAGGGGATTTTTAATTTGTACAGTTGATTTTGCCACCTTGGAACTTAGCTATATAAGACTTATTTTCCCCTGTTAAATACAGTATTTGCAATGGCCAAGTATTCACTCTAGCTTGTTGAAATAATTTCACACTTTTAATTCTGATGTCTTATGTTCAGTATGCCCTCTAACATTGGGACATGTATATATTTGATAAGTGTACCACCAATTACTTGATTATGTCATTGTTTAAAATGTTTTTAATAGTACTATCTAAGAACAGAGCCCTGCAGCACATAACTACAATCACTAGGGACTGTGTTCCATGTAACTGACACTGACCAACTCTTTTGAACTCAGGAACTTGTTCAACCAGTTAACATCCATCCAAACAAAATTTTCTCTTTTCAGATTTCTTCATCTAAGAATAATTATATTTTTATTTAGCTCAAGTCAGACAATAATATGTATAATTCCCAGGCATCCCTGTCTTCCTCACCACCCCCCAAAACAGAACTAAGTTTAATGTGTTTAACTTACTCTTAAGGACTTCTGTGGTATTTGTTCTTTTCATAAGTCTCCCTAACCTACAATTTACTAATCTGCTCAAATTTTGCTTCCAGTCAACATTACTTTTACCCGCCTTTAGTTTCTAGAATCTGCTTTTTTGTTGTTGTTCTTTCAAAGTCTCTGAATGGCATTTTGCCACCCCTTAGCACCTGTCCTGTTATGCAAGATTTGGAAAATTCTTACTGACTGGGTCATGTAGATAAGAAGCACTTTTAGCCCCAGCTCCATCCACATCCTCCTCACTTGCAAAGAATAATAAGAAAAGTACCTTCTGGAAAATTTAGTAAATTCAAGCTATAGTGAAAGTGAGACAAATTTCCTTCACATAGGGATATGGTAATTGTGTAAAATTGATACTAAAGCAATTTTACAGCATTTGGTTCTGTTTAGTTACATTCTTTCTTACAAAGACAATTCCTCTTTGATTTTAAGTTTTAATATTCTAAATTTTTAGATCTGTACTCCTGTGCCCTTGGAATGAGTGCTCATCTTTATCTGCAACATCTTAAGGACAGGGTGGTTCAGAGACAGACTAGTAGGAGATCAATATGGAAGCCTTTATTTATCCTTCTCCATCAGATCTGTCCTTAGAACCACAGCATAGAGGTTGTCAAGAGTGACCTTGGAGACATCAGCCTGCTGGCTGGCTGGTTAACATTCCCTTGCTTAAACAGACCAAGTGTGGCTTTTACTAGTGATACATTTATGTCATATTCCCAAATTTCTTAGAAGTGAAATGAGTTAAATAGAACATTTTTCTTGTCAGTCTACTCTGAACCTGACTTTTCAAGGTTGTGGGGCATTCAGGATTTATTACGTTTTTTTTTTTTTAAAAAAGGGATGGGCTGGGTCTGGAAATCTATATGCCAGGGCTGTATTTTGGATCAAAGCCAGCCTTAGTGTTCAGTCTAGGAAATGTCCAATTTGACTCCTGCCTTTTTAGTTTGTGTCAGAATCAAAAGAAATTTCCAGGTAATTTTGCACACTCTGTTTTAATAGTTTGAGATAACTCTGCTTTGCCTTGGAGGAGGACATGCTTAGTTTTCTCAGTCACGCTCTTTTTGTTTTGCATGCTGCAGTCCTGTATGGATTCGGCATTGGAGGGCAGTGCAGTCAGTTTCTGCACATTCTGAYTCAGTTCTTTGGGGAGGAGTACAAGAGTTCCAGTTTTGATTTCTTTTACAAAGCACACCAAGTTTAGAAGCAATATGGGAACAAAAAGTCTTTGGGGGGTTTCCCCMAACATTTTACAGCTTTCTTTTTAGTCCTAATTTTGAATTCCATGTGAAACTCTGAAATTACCTATTTCCTTCTTATATTTTTATAAGCTAAACTGGGATAAAATTCAACTCCATGTCTAYTTTCCAAGGCAAAATGTAGCATTTCCCTTCTCCCTACCAGTGTCCCTTAACTCCCCACACCAAACACTTTAAAGGGGGAAAAATTATATTCCTGTTCCTATTTTATGCATTCAACCAATATATGTTGAATGGCTAATGTATACAAATAACTGTGCTGAAAATAGTAGTTCTGTTTTCTCTCAACATTTTGCACCCTAGGGCCATGTTGATGTTAAGGTAAAGAAGGTAGTCTAGTTGAGTGCTCTCAAGTGATTTCCTTACTTGGGGAGAGGGTGGGAGAAATGGATAACATTGATTAGTCACTGAATATCTATTATTTGTGAAGCACTGTGCTAGTCCCTGTGACACAGATGTTATTAGACTCCTTTACTGATGAGGAGACTGAGATCAGTCAGCTATACCAAAATCACGGAGCTGGTATTTGGCCATATTACCATTTACAAACAAGTTTCTCTGTAACTCTGTTGTCTTTCCATTGTAATTACTTATTCCTTATGAACAAAGTGCTGCATAAACACTAGGGTGAGATTATCAAAGCCAAGGAAATACATTGTAGGTTTTGGTTGGGGTAGGGAGAGAATTTAAATAATAATAAATGTTGATTCATAAATTRAATTCAGGAATAAAAAATAGTTTTCTGTAATCAAATTACCTTTGCTTTAAAAGTTGGATGTTAATCAGTATTTGGGACATTTAGGGATTCATTTTTATGATAGATAATATATATTTTACTTGCAAAATCCTGGGTTCCATTTTCAGCATATGTTATTTTCCTTTTACATATTAGTACTTGGGAGCACCAATTTAGGTCTGGCCTTCAGTGACTGCATCCTTAAGTGCTGCAGTACAGTGACTTGTGGTAAAAATGTTGTCATAAGATAATGTAAATGACCTTTGGTGTGCTATGTGCTCTTAAAAGACCATAAAGTAGTGCAGAGCTACTTTACTTTGATTGCACATCATAATAGAATGGATACTGAACTATAATAGCAAACCTGTGTAGTAAGTCTAATGTTTTTATAGTATGCTTTTATTTGGCAGAGAGGCTAAATGTTTTACATAGAACTTGTTTAAAAAATGCATCTTGGCCATTTTTAACAAAGTAGTTGTAATGTTCATTGTATATAAATTTTTTAGTTCAAGCTGTACATGGAAGAAACAGCATCAGTTGTTACCCTTGTCTGCATTTATAATGAATTCACCTGTCTAATTCAGCAATGATGATAAGACAAATTAGCAAAAATGGTTCTAAATTGAGTGAAAAAAGATTTTTTCCAAAATCCGGGTGAAAATGACTGATTCCATTTGTACTCGGAGGATGTATTTATCTTAAAAATTTCTATGTTGTGGAAAATTGAGTATATAAATATATATTTTCCTTTGAAAAAAAATGTGATATATTCTCCATCAGCTCACATGCTAGCCATGGGTGACACCACATGAGGACAGTCTGAGCATCTGTTAAGTCATTTCCAGTCTGCAGGTTCTGGGTCTGTCACTAAAGCCAAAATCACTGTCATTGCAGGRCAGCTCAGAAAAAGCAAAGCTGGCACATACATTTCCCTATTTTCTGAATTCACAGAGCAAGCCAACTGGCTTTCCGTAGCATAGATATTATAGATTATTTTTCTTAGATATCAAGTTGAGCATTTAAGTCTCCTTAAGAGAAGCCCTTGTCTTAAATCTCCTCTGCCCTTTAGAACCTTTCCATTCTTTCCCAGATCTTCTCATCCCTGCATTTTAATTTCTTGAACATGAATGTTATTGCTTGGTTACAAACAGCAAAAAAAAAAAAAAAAAAAAAAAAAAAAGAATAAAATGTGGCTCTTCTCTTTGCTAATCCCAGGCCACAAGATTTTCATTAATCTTGCTAAAGTTATGCTTTCATCATTTTATTCTGCAGTTGTAAAATATCCCACCATATTCTGTTT